GCCTGCCCCAAAGCTCTGCCCGGACAGAGCGGCGGGGGAGGGCGCCAGGTGAGCGCCCATGGGTGCCCCCAGGGGGCTGAGAGCCGCTCCGGGAGCCCCCAGCGGAGGATGCATGGGGGAGAGGTACGGCCCGCAGTCCAGGCCCCCGAAATAGGCGGCCGAGCCCCCGTAGCTCTGCCCGTAGGGCGCCGTTTGGTTGTAGGGAGCGGCGGAGAACGGAGCGGAACGCGGCAAACCCGGGGCGCTGCCGGCGGCCAACGGGTCCGGCACCGGGGAGATGGAAGCCGGGCTCCAAATGGACACCGGGGCGGCGGGGCCGGGGGTCCCCGCGGGGCCGGGCTGGGAGGGGCTGTACGGCCCGGCGCCCCCGGCGTCGCTTTGCGGTTCCCGGGGCGGGGACGGCTTCTTCTTGGCCGGCCGAGCCTTGGGCTGCCCGCTGCTCTGCTGCTGCTGCTGGCGGCACTTGGCGCGGCGGTTCTTGAACCACACCTGGGGGAGAGGGAAACTGAGGCACGGGGGGCTGGGGGTGCGCGCGTGGTGCGTGCGGAGCTGCGGGTCCTGAGCACCGACTGCACGCACGGGACCCCCGCGAGGGCACACGTGGGGGGGTGCAAAGCCTTTCTGCGTGCGGGGACCCCGTCCTGTACACGTGGGTGCACCCAGGACCCCATTTTGCACACGTGGGTGCATTCAGGACCCCATTTTGCATACGTGGGTGCACTTGGGACCCCACATTACACACATAGGTGCACTCAGGACCCCATTTTGCACACATGGGTGCACTCAGGACCCCACGTTACACACACGGGTGCACACAGGGCCCCATGTTGCACACATGGGTGCACTCAGGACCCCACACTACACACATGGGTGCACTTGGGACCCCACGTTACACACAAGGGTTGCACTCAGGACCCTATTTTACACACAAGGGTGCACTCAGGGGTCCATTTTGCATACATGGGTGCACTTGGGACCCCACATTACACACATGGGTGCACCCAGGACCCCATGTTGCACACATGGGTGCATTCAGGACCCCATTTTGCACACGTGGGTGCACTCAGAACCCTATTTTAGACACGTGGGTGCACTCAGGACCCCATGTTGCACAGCTGGTGCACACAGGACCCCATTTTACACACATGGGTGCACTCAGGACCCCACATTACACACATGAGTGCACTCAGGACCCCATTTTGCACACCTGGGTGCACTCAGGACCCCATGTTACACACAAGGGTTGCACTCAGGACCCGACTTTGCACCCACCTGCACGCGGGACTCCGGCAGGTTGATCTTCAGGGCCACCTCCTCCCTCATGAAGATGTCGGGGTACCTCGTTTTGGCAAACAGCGCCTCCAGGATGTCCAGCTGTGCCCGTGTGAAGGTGGTTCGCTCACGGCGCTGCTTCCGGGGGGTGGCTGCAAAACACCCCCCCCCCCCCCCCCCCGTGCAAACAGCCCCACCTGTGCAGCTCCTGTGCAACGCCCCCCCTCCGTGCAAAACCCCGCGCACAAAACCCCCGCGTGCGACCCCCCCCAACCCGTTGTGCAAACAAACCCTCG